TCAACGGGCCCCGCCCACCGAGGGGTGGGGCAAGGCTGGGCGGAGCGCGAGCCCCAGGGCGCGAAGGGCAGGCGTGGCTCGTGAGGTGGGCGGGTCCCGAGAGGGCCGCTGATGGTCGTAGTGACGTCATAGTTACGGAGCAGGTCGGGAGCTGAGGGAAGGAGGGTGAGCGAAGGCGGGAAAAGCGGCTCTTCCGGGAGCGGTTCGGGAGGAGGGGAAGGGGCGGAGCGGGAGGACACCGATGGCGGAGGTGGGAGGAGGCAGGAGCGGCTGAGGGCGCCGTCCGAAATAGTGTCAGTTCACAGAATCATAGAGTGGTTCGGGTTGGAAGGGACCTTAAACATCATGGAGTTCCAACCCCCCTGCCAGGGGCAGGGACACCTCCCACTAGACCAGGTTGCTCAAAGGCCCATCCAGCCTGGCCTTGAACACTTCCAGGGATGGGGCATCCACAGCTTCTCTGGGCAACCTGTTCCAGTGTCTCACCACCGTCACAGGAAAGAATTTCTTCCTAATATCTAGTCTAAATCCCCTCTCTTTCAGTTTAAAACTATTCCCCCTCATCCTATCACTCCACTCCCTGTTAAAGAGTCCCTCCCCATCTCTCCTGCAGGCCCCCTTTAGGTACTGGAAGGCTGATATAAGGTCTCCCTGGAGCCTTCTCTCTCAGCCTGTCCTCATAGGAGAGGTGCTCCAGCCAGCCCTCTCATCATCTTCATGGCCCTCTACTGGACCCGGTCCAACAGGTCCATATCCTTATGTTGGGGGCCCCAGAGCAGACACTTCAACGATTTTTAAACATTCAAAATTTGAATTCATGTTCTTAGAAGCTCTGGGTATATTTAGCCATTATGTTCCATAGCTGTGTACGTGAGACTTGATCCATGTGCGTGTGTTTTTACTACCTTACTCGTGTTACGTTACAACGTTGCCTCTGAATTCTGTAAAACTCCTCAAATGCTTCAAATTAGGCTGCTATTTTGTGTTGTAACAACAACATGGTTAATTTACATGTAATCATTTACATTGTAATTCCTTCCTCTACTTTTAAACACCTAAGCAGATCGCTAACGCCAATGAGCAGGCAGTTATTTTCCTCTGGAATGACCAAGCGCCTTTTGTAACTGCAGATGGAGCAGCGTTACCTGGCAGTTAGCCCTTTTATGGGCAAAATTTTAGATCATGTTTTGTTTGGGGGCAGAGCTCCCACCCGTCGCAGCATAAATGCTTTGTGCTTCCGTACGCTGACAGAATTGTAACAAAATACCCGCGTGTCCTGCTCTGAGTGACAACAGATTTATTTCCCTTTCAGCAATTTTACTTTTCAGTAAGATCTCTTCTAACGCTGGGGAAAACTGCACTTTTAGAAGACTCTAGTGCCTGAAATAGTGAAATGTATTTGCGTTACCGCCCGCTGGGCTCTGTGGGTTTCGGGGTCTCCGTGTTCTCAAGTTTAGCCAGGTGCATGGATGAAGAAGAGCGAGACCCGGGCACTTTGACCCAGGCTGGCCAACAGCATCATTTCATACCACCAGCATCATGTTCAATACAAATTAGAAAGTTTGCTGAGGAGTTTTCCCTCTCTCTCTTGACGGCAGCGATCCAAGGAACTCCTTGGCCCAGTACCAGACCCCTGAGCCCTTCCCTTCCTCCTGAAGCCATCGCGCTCGCATTGTCCGACATTTGCTGTCCCTGCTGGGAGCGCACAGCTTCCTACTGGTATTTTATACTCGTATCGGGGTCAATATCGGTTCTTTGGTGTTATTAATGTTGGTTATTTAGTCTTATTCTATTAAATCTATTTACACTTCAACCCTCGGGGTTCCCTGTTTCCCTCTCGCGGGTGGGGAGGGCTCATCGGGTGACAGAATAAATATCCGAATAATAATAAATCCGACAAATTGCGGCGGGTTCCTCAGGCCGCAGCGGCGCGTCTCCCCTGCGCAGCCGTACCCCTGGGCACCCGCCGCTCCCGCCAGGCCGCTCGCCTCACGGACCTGAGGGCAGCACGGCCGCTCTGGAAGCCCCTTCCCAGCCCCTCCGTCTCCGACATCCCGCGGCTCATCCGCTCCGCCACCGGGTCTTCCTCCGGGACAGGCACTAACCCACGGAACACCAGGAAAACCTGCCCCCCCCCCACCCCTGAGCCCGTAGCCCTGAGCCCGTAGCCCTGAGCCCGTAGCCCTGAGCCCGTAGCCCTGAGCCCGTAGCCCTGAGCCCGTAGCCCTGAGCCCGTAGCCCTGAGCCCGTAGCCCTGAGCCCGTAGCCCTGAGCCCGTAGCCCTGAGCCCGTAGCCCTGAGCCCGTAGCCCTGAGCCCGTAGCCCTGAGCCCGTAGCCCTGAGCCCGTAGCCCTGAGCCCGTAGCCCTGAGCCCGTAGCCCTGAGCGTGGTGGTGTCCCCTCTTTGCCTTAGACCCGCCTTGTTTGTTACTCCGCTTTACTCTGCAGGGAAGCTCCTGCTTCCCCCATCACCTACGCTGGAAGTTTTCTCCCAGTTTTTGTACCACCCTTAACGGGCGCACGAGAAATATTCGGGGGAAAAAACCCCACCAAACCCCATGTCTGTGCTCTGTGTGCTGGGTACTTAGAGGAGGCCTATAGTGTGATAGATGTCTCTGTGTTTGCAAAGGGGCTGTGTTTGAACAGTGCCGCTGCTGAAGAACAGTTTACCCAAATCAACATGTCTGCGAGTGTTTGCATACAGTAGAATTATCTGTGGAAAGATGATCTTTACTCTCTTAAAGTTGCTATGATTGTACCCAGGGGATTAAAGAAACTCATCCTACATAATCAGTCCAGCTAATGCTTAAGTATGCGTAATTGAAAATATTTGAGTCCTAAGAGAATTATGAACAGTTTTGCCTGTATGAAGCTTAAGCTGGTGTGATTTGGAATACTTGTGGCCTTGCCTGAGAATTTTAGGTGCATGAAACAATAGCAGGGTTTTATATGAGCTCCCTGAATTTTTGTATGCTTTTGTCTGTGTAGTTTATGTGGTCTAAAGTGTACAGGTTTTAGGCCCGTATCAGAAGTCATGAAGTATTGCCAGAACCACTAGTGACAGAGACTTGACTTGCTTTCAGTGACCTCTACTTCGTAAGAAGTTAGTAGGTTTTTTTCTCTTTTCATAAATTGGCAGGAGTTACTAAGAAGTTTTGTTTGCAAAACCCTGTACATGATTAGAAAGAAAAGTGGTGTTCTGTTATAACTAACAGTTACTAGAAATTTCCCTTTGGAACTTATTCTTTGGGAACTGGGAAAGGAAGCATGGTTCTACATCTGTAAGTTTAAACTGCATTATATTCTAGTTGCCTATTTTTTAGCAGCATAAAGAAGACCTCTAGTATTGTAGTTGGTTTCGGGGAAGTGTGTTAAGGGTGCATGAAAACATAAGTCCTCAACAATATGTCTGTCATAACCTTTTCCTTTTCTTTTGGCTACTGTTTTTATTGGGGAAAAAATGGCAGGGTTTTGGATAGGGAGAGGCTGCAGGGTCGGCCTCTGTGGGCAAAGGTGATGAACTGCCCGGTACTGGTTGCAGCTGAATCTGACTGTCTCTGATGATGATGAAAACAACCCATCACACCCCAAAATTTCAAGCAGAGAAGCCCATGGCACTTGTGGTCAAATGTGCTGAACAAAGAAGCAGCAGCCACCATGGGCAGGAGACCAGGCTGTCATTGGCACGGGGCAGTTCACGGCCTCTCCACACCAATCAACCCTGCAGCCCCCTCACTTCTGAAACCTTGGCATTTATTCCCCTCACACTACCTTAAAGTGGCTTTTGAAAAAGAAATTACGCCACTAAGATGCTCGTGCTTTGAGTTTGTCATAATAACAAGAACTTTTATTTCTGTTCCCCACAGAAGAATATACTAGTCGAAAATGATGTAAAGATGGACAAAGATGGTCTCACTGATCTCTATATTCAACATGCCATTCCCTTGCCTCAGCGTGACTTACCCAAAAGTAGATGGGGGAAAATGATGGAAAAGAAAAGACAGCAAAATGAGTCAAAAAGTGAGAATAAAAGGTAATTTAGCTTTTATTGGGTTAGACTTGGAGAATTTAGGACAATGCATTTAGTTTAATCTTTGTTTGCCTGATTAATGAAACTTGTACAGCTCTTGGACATTGTTACAGGTTACAGAGAATGCCATGTCAGATCTCCTGTATCAGAAGTGTTAGATTCTACTACTGCAATAATAGGAAAAAAGGGAAGATAATTTTTTGGTGTGTGTGTCATCCAAATGTTGTTAGTGATATCTAGTTTATAGTGCTTATTTTCATAGAACCATAGAATGGTTTGGGTTGGAATGAACCAGTACTTCCCAAGTCTTTCTTGGCAGGGTTGCTCTCAATCCCTTCGTCTCCCAGGCTGTATTGATACTGGTTTATTGGTACATTTCAAGATACTTTGTAATGAAGAAAAACTAATATTTTTTTTTTTTACCTTATAACATTATAATCATATTTATATTTATTTTTATGTATTTATAGTGTTTAAGAAAAGTACTAAAAGCACGTTTAATTATGCTTGCTCCCAGGACAGGGTTGGTCTACTTCAGAGTCAGGGGTATATGCTGCAGCAGTTTTGTGTGTCCAATTTGAATCTAACAATTACTTTCCAAAAGAAACAGTCTGCATTGTTTCTAAAACCTTTCTGTTTGTATTTGATCAAATAGCAAAATCTTCCTCAAAAATTTACTTGACTGAATCTCTTCTCCTCCCAACCTTCCCTCTGCCCAAGGCTTTGACTTTGACACGTGGGTGTGATGTGATGTGCATGGGCAGTGTTCTGATTTCACTTCAGCAATAAATGCAAAAGGAAAGGTAGATGGAAATGCTTATTGTAGTTTTGCAGTATTACAGCATGTTGATTTCATGGGGCTGTTTTAGCTTTACTGAGGTTTCTAACTGGGAAGAGCTAAACAAATTCTGTCAAGTTGGTTTTGTTGGTTTTGTTTTGTTTTTAATTTTTAGTTGCTAGGGCACTGAGTTACCTTGTTATGTCAGTTGGTTTTTTTCCCCCATGTACATAAAACTCAGTTTGTTTACGACTTCCAACTTGGGGATGAAGTCATGAGGTTAGTGTTTGAATAAGAAACTCTTGGTGTGCAGAAATAGGTGCAAAATAATTTTTTTAACAAAGAAATAAAGATAGCAGGCTGAATGTTTTTGAGAGAAGGCAATGTTAATTTTTAGATGGAGAATTACTTCATCCAAAGCTTATATGTAGAATAAATGCTCTTATTTTGTTATACTAAAATTCCATGATCGTTAAACCTATTTAGTATTTGCTGGGAAAATAGTAAGTAAAAGGGGATACGTTTAATCTATGACTCTGCTTTTCTTCTACTGGTTGCTCTTTGCACTTAACATCTAGTGTACTGGGCTTAGTCTTTTGTGCTGTTGTTAGACAGTTTTAAGATTTTCCAGCAGTTATTGGTTTTGCTGGTATTACATCTTTCATACTTAACAAATCTGCTGACAAAATACTGTCTAGAAAAGTTAATCTTTTACTGCTAGTATTACTAGCTCTAGAGAAATGGGAGAAATAGACTTTCATCACTCAGTAAGTAAAAGTTGCACAGGGAAAACTTCAGTTTTAGTATATTCATGGAAAGAATCAAGGAAGTTCAATCATCTTTTTGGACCTTAAAATATTACGCTTTTTCCTCATAGTTGTGTGTACTACTTAAGCAGAACTGGCATGATGCCACAGTGCAGGCGAGGAAGTAGAACTTTGTGTTCCTGTTTTAAAAACAAAACAAAACTCTCAGGTACTGGGAGGCTGGAAGTTACGTGCAAGTCAGAGATGGGAACTAAGCCTGCTGTTAGTTTGGCTTTGAAGTCAGATGAACTGATTGATCGTATGAACAACAGGAGCTTCCTGATGAGCTCCTCTGTGAAAAGAACAGCTTTACAACATGCGCTGGAATTAATATGAGGCTTGGAGACTTGATCAGCACAGCTCAGTGTGTGTTTGCATGCCTCTGGTAGTTACAGATAGGAGGTGAAAACACATCGAAATTTAGAAGTCTGTTGAGTATCATGTTTAGCTTTGCAGCTAGTGATTGATGGCATGTCCTAGAAGACTTGCTGTATATCAGCTGAGCTGCCGTAGTGTGTTATACCTCAATAATACAATCAAATATCTGAGGTCACAGATGATGGTTTGTACATCTTATTACTAAATTATCTGAGCTTGCAGCCAATCATACCAAACAAACCCAAATGCAGTCTACCCAACCTCAAACATTTCAGAAAGTATTTGTGTTCAGAAGTAGTTAATTTTGTAGATCCAGGAGATCATCTTGCCTGCTGGAAGAAAGAGGATGGTATGAATCTCAAAATGTATATGTAGTTTCTGACGTGTCATTGAATCTGCAAATTCTCTCTCCAGGAGCACTGTGGCTGTACATGCTCAGAGCTGTGGCCTTGGTAGAGCTCATAATTTCTCATTAGTCACCTGAGAGGTAGCTGTGGCATCCTCTGAGAACTGCTAATGCACTGATAATAATGAGTTCAGTGTAAAACATGGTAATTCTGACCAGTTTCTGATATTCACAGAGATGATTACCTGCCTGTTTTACTAACAGGTGAATATTTAGGATAATCAGAGGTGGGAACTAAAAGCTACACTTCTCTCTGGTTTTAGGGTGCTGCCTTAAGTACCAGGCTAAGCTAGACAAGAATAGGAACATTTTTCATTAAATTGTCCTAATAATCAGGAGTTGCTCAGAGGCCATCCTGACTACACCAGTAACGATGTGAAACAGAGGAAACCCAACAGAGATTGCTCAGGTAGAGAAGCTTTTGCTTCTCTAGGAAACCTTGTGTTTTTTACTGTGTGCTACAAAGCAAGCAGCAGGATTAGAGCATACCCTCCATCCAGCCCAGCCCAATGTGTGGCTAGAACCTTTCTCTAGGATGTTGGGGATGCGCATAGAAACTAGGTTGCAGAGAGTGTCCTGCAGGAGGTGACAGGATCCCCAAATGATTCTTTTCAGCTGTTAACTAGTGTCAGTGTCCTCCTTAAGAAGAGTGCTAGCTAATATGGGTCCTGCTCTGAAGCTTTTCAGCTGTCTGTACATTTAAAGAAAGTGAATGTCACACTTAAGGCTCTGTGTTCTTCCGTGAGCCGTGCATCTAGAAATTAGATGTGGCAGTTCTTGATGGTATAGCACCCAAGTTTCTTTTGGAATTTTTTTATAGTGTTTCTCTGGAAATGTTATCTGTATTGTAGCATGTGGTCATTTATGCAAGTGCTACAATTCTAAAATTCAGTTTAGAATAGATAACAATCCTCCTAGAATTGCAGATATTTCCTGACTTACCAGTCCTCACCGAGCTAAATTAAAAACAAAAAATCTCCTTAGGAAAAACAGACTTCCTATGTTAAGGAAGGTGACTGAAAAAAGTGATACATTTTTTTTCTTTCACATAATTTGTAAACTGGCTTTAAAAAAGACTGGTGGGGAATGTGTTCCTTGTCAGAAGTGTTGAATAAATAATTGGACAAAACCAAAGTGAGCAAAAAGTATCATGTTTTATTTTTGAAGTTTGTTCCAGCTTTTTAGTCTTTTCAAGTGAAGTTATACTCCTTAATTTAACGGATATGTTAAATACTGCTGTTTTTTCAGTAATATTTAACTGAAATGACATAACCCGGATGAACACTCCTGGTCTTGGAAACTAATGTCATTTTGCAGAAGCTCTCCTAGAAGCTACATCTGCTGTAGGTAGAAGCCAAAGAGTTGTGTCTAGTCTCTTGACAAACAAGTTGCAAATGAAGTTCTCTCTTTGTCCCTATCAGTTCCGGGAACCCAGTGAATAGAGAAAGAGGAGGATTATGTGACATGTTGTTGTGCACAGATAGTAGTGCAGAAGCAAATCTGAATAACAGCTGAACTTTATCTTGCTCTGTGGGTGCTCAAATTATGACTCCTTTCATTTTCGTTTAGAGAACCCCCTGGTCTTGACAGAAGTTGTGCAAGCGATGTGTAATTTCTTAATAAGTGAGGTTTATCAGCAGCTGCTAATTTAATGTTGTTCCGAGTCAAACAAAAGGAGTCTCTGCTTTTGGCTTGTTTTGAAGTCTGTTGAGGTTACCTAACATCAATATTGTCAAATTCCTTAATTACAAATTAATGGTGCTGTTTCATTGTTGAAAACGCTATAGTTCAGCTTTTATTCCTCTGTTTAATATGAAACAACTAAACACTAAATGTGTACTGAAAACTGAAGTTTCTAAACAGGGATATTATATAACTTCATAGTGGGTTTGGGTTTTTTTTATTTGTTAAATCTACACTTTCTTTGTGTTATTCAAAACTCATTAAATTGGCTTAGGGTTCCTGTTCAAGGACAGCTTATTCAAAAACAGATATGTTTTGTTTTTTTTTTTTGCTTAATGTTTTCATTCCTTGTCTAACAATCTTTTGGACTGTCTTAATATTATGATTCTGAATAAGAGTGAAAACAGGGAGATTTAGAAGCATCAGAGTATCAGGTGCTGGTTTTGTAGGTAAGGTGGCAGACACTTTCTCAAATATTCACCTTTTAAAATACTTAACAGCTGTTGCCTATTTTGTTACTCTGCAATGCTTGCAGTGGTATAAACATACAGTCTTTGGTCATATAACTATAATTGTCTGCTTAGGAAGTTCCTCATACAACCCTCTTTGCTGAGGAGCACTGTTCCTCACACAACCTCCTCTCCCCCCGGCCCTTCCTTTTATATTTTGGAAACAATTTCTGTTGCCTAAGTTTGGAGCCACTGAGAGTTTAATGTTAGCATTTTGGGACGCGTTTTCACTCGAGCAAGATAAAATTCATTTTCACTACTCATGTCTTGAATATGGTATTTTTGGACCATTTACCTTGTGTTTCTGAGAATTTTACAATTTGTATTTTCAGTGTTACAGCGGTGGAAGGTTTAAGGAAACGGCCATTAATTGTATTTGATGGCAATTCAACAAGTACAAGCATAAAGGTGAAGAAGACAGAGAACGGAGCTGCTGATCGCCTAAAACCTCCTCCAGCTGGAAGCACCACCAACACTGTTAGAAGATTATCAGCTCCTTCAAATGCTTCAACGTACATTTCAGCCTCTAGTTTATCGGAGGACGCTAAGCTGGGAACAAGGAATAATGAGGCCAAGCAGAACAATATTTCAAAGACTAACAGCAGTGTATTGGCTAACCTGAAGGTTTACCCTTTGTCTCCAGTAGCAGGAACTACTGTTGTGAAGTTAAAGAGAGCTGTTCCAAAAGAAGAATCTGATTTGCCGGTATGTACATTCAATATCTTGTTTTACAGCTTTTTCTTCTTTTTTATTTTTTCTTTTTTAATTGAAACTTGCAGGAGCCAAAGGTAGACCTTTGTAAAAAAGTTTCTGGGATTATTTTATCTTGGAGTACTAGTAGAGTCTTTTTTTAGAAACAGGCAAAAGAGTAGCTGGTTTGGGAAAGATCAGATGGGAAGAAATTAAGTACTTCATACCTGTTCATGGCAAACTCCTGGGTGAGAGAGGCAGCTTTGTAGAAAACATGCATACAATTTTAAATTGACTAAGTAGGTAATGCTTAAGGTGGTGCTGGTAGCAGTCAAAGAAAACACAATCAAAATAACCCTACTGGTAGGTCTGAGGGAGAGAACAGGTATTAGAAAAATACTAACTGCCTCAAGGGGAGGAATGGCAACATTTGTAACAACCACACTTGACTGGTTGAGTAGGTCAAGCTTTCATTTGTCAAACTGAAGGAAGAGATGTTACAGGAACTGAAGTGAGATGCTGAGAGCTGTAGGAACATATCCTTAGAGGAAGAAAGCCATCTGTTTTAAATCTCATGTAGGAATTGGCAAACTAGAGGAAGGAACTGGATGTGAAAATCTGGAGAGCTGCCTAGATTATGGGTCTGAATGAGAAGCCATAACAACAAATCATGCTAGCTGAACTGAGAGGCCTAAGGTTGAAGGGCTCATTTTGAGCCCTGGTGATCTTAATCAGGTGCCTGGGCTTCTGTAAGGTGACGAGAGAGACACGCTGAGAGCTTTAACAGAAGGATGCTGTTCTCAAGTAGAGGACTAGTGACTGAGCTGTTAACCGTAAAGGCAAATAATTATTTTCTTTCTGCAAGCTAGATTCAGCTGCAAACGGATTTTCTGTAGACAACTATACTACAGATGGGGACAGAATGAGGCTGGTGAGCTGAAATGATGAGAGGAGAGATAAGACAGGATATATGAATTCAGGAGGGACTTATCTTTGGCAGTGTGGGTAATGGTTCTGAGTGTAGCTGCTAGTTGGGGAGAAAGATAAAACAGTGTTTAATTTTGATAGTGATTAGCCTTTAAAGACTTGTTAGTGGGCAGGGAGCAGTGGGCCATCACCTCTTTAAAACATGCCATGAGGTAGAGATAAGTTTTATATTTGTATTGTATTCCCTCATAGTACAAATGAAGGAATTTTCACATTTCCACTGGAATATGGGAATATCTGGAATAAATCTGGGCTTTTCAAAGGAAGAAATAGAAATAGCTGTTTGCAGTTGAACTGCAGGGGGAGCTTTAGTATGCACTCTGCAGTTATGTAGATTAAGATTTTCCCAGGACACAAAACCTAATTTCTGTTTTCTCAGTATTGCCTCATGAAATACGTTCTGTTTATCTTCTTTGTTTGAAAAAAACAACAACTCAAAACCTCAAAATCCTTTCATGAAAGAATACAGATAATATCCTTGCTGCATGGATTGGTAGGTTCTATCAGACTTCTGTTAAACACGAGCACTAACGCACGTGGCTGTTCTGAAAGACAGCTTTAGCAACTTTTACAAGAATCATGGCTGTGGCCCTGAATCAAATTCAAGCTGGAGAGGTGTGTTTCCTACTAACAGTATTACTGATTTATTTCAGTATTTAGAACTCTTTAAGTATTGGTCAGGTCTGAAACTACAGAGCTTTTGAAACTTGTTTAGTATACACCTCACGGCTGCTTTATATTTAATTTAAATGTTTTGTAGGCACAATGTTGTACAGTGTTAAGTGACACTGTATAACTGACGCTCGGAAGCTATGAATTCTGATACTTGACTTTGTATCTTAGCCACAGTTTATGTTGTCCAAGTTAATACTGGTACGTTCAGTCATGCTTTGGGTAGTGTCGGTCAGACATATTTAAGTTAGGCAAGTGTGTTGTATGGATGTTACTTAACTGTCTGAAATTAAAGATCATGGTATTGAATAATAAGTGATGCAGCCAGCAGGAATCAGTAAATGTGACAGATGGCTGTAGACTGTAAAGCCTGATGTATTTTTAGTATAATGACAGTAGTGACAATTTCAAGCAAGTGACTGTTCTTTGATTCAAGATAAACTGAAGTTCTTATGCTGAATAGCACAGAACTATCCTTCAGATCTTTGGGTCTAACCCCTTTCAACCTTTCCATGGTCACAATCCACAGGCTTGCTGTAAATAAACTAACATTTAAACTCTCAAGGAGAAGAGATCTCTCTGTATTGTGTTCCCTAAACCAGTGTGTTGCAGAACGTTCTTGAAAACTCATATAACTGTCTTTACACCGCTAGTATAAACTGCTAAAGGTCTAATTTCTCAGATTTTTTTTTTTCTTCCTTGATTTAGGTGGTGAAAGGTAATTAATTCACCATTCAATCTCCCATTGTTTTACGTTGGGCTCGCCTGATTTTTTCTGGTTTCTTGGGGCAGGACTTGAAGGATGTGTTCAATTTGAGGCTTTGGCAATCGTTTCATGTTTTTTATACAGGTCATTACAAAAGAAGATCTACTTTTCCTTCTCTTTTTCTAGTTTTTTTACTAGTTGACAAAAGTAAATCCATTTCCTGGTTGTATGTTTAGTTTTTGAAATGGGATTGTATAGGAAAAACTATTTTAAGAAAGCAAGCTGAAATAACTTTAGAAGTATATTTTGAAACCCCAACGCACACCTGTTTCTAAGCTGCGTAATTGAAAGATATTTTTGCATAATTAATTGTAGCATTAAGAAAAAGCAAAAGACGTGTATGATTTGCCGGTAGTTAAATTCAATGGCTTTATTTTTAACTTCTGGAGATGTTCTGTGATACTTAACTTTCTCCAGGAGATGGCAATAGAAAGCCGTTGTAGTAGTATATAGCCGAGTAGAGCAGTAGTCAGTACTAGACCTGAACATGGCAGGGGAATTACTGGCTTGTACTACTCGCACAGTGTATCTAAGAATACTTATATATATTTTCTTGTATTCCAGAGTGACCTAAAGCCTACGGAAGCAAAGAAGAAAATCCAGCATGTTACATGGCCATGAAGTAGCTAACGGTGCTTGAAACATAAATATTACTTCCATTTTTTTCAAATAGATAAGTCATATTTAAACAGTTTAAGTACAACTCTTTTTAAACCTTACAGGGACTTAGATTGCTGTGAAGTTTTTAACAAGTTTAAAAGTTCCCTGTTGTAAAGCTGGAGTCATTATCACCAGTCACCTTAAGAGTGTCAACTCTTGTACACCAAGTAGTTCATTACTTCTTTGAAAGGTGGTATGTTACAATATACTAATCCCCTCACTTTTAGTTCTCAAGATTATTATAGTTCATCTCCTGCATGTCCCTACGATTCACAGATATAAATATATATTTTTTTTGTTTGAGTAAGATTCAGTTTTGTTCCACTTCTAGTTAGTTGAAATACATATTGAGATTCAGAGTGATCCCAAGAGTCATCTTGGCTTCAAAAAGATAATTCATTTAGATAAGAAAACTGACCATTCTGCTAATAAGATAGTCTGAGACAAACCTTTTTTCCTTTTTGTTGCACAAAACAGGAGTATAGAATTTACAGTGCAAGTTAGGTTGGTAATAAGAGATGAACTATTTAACAGCATTACTTCAAATTGAAGTTTCTCTTATTGGCATATGAAGCAAGAAATGCACGGATGGAAGTATGTTATTGGACTGTTTGATATGAATCTTTGAGAGGAAGTAGTGAATGGATTAGTGCCATGTTTTTTTAAATACACAGGCATATTTTATACATGCATAAGTGTAAAAATCTGCTGATGTAACAAATTTGCCTGTTTTCCTGGTTACAGTAGTGCTTATAAAATATGGCAAAAACCCGTGGAATGCAGGCTAGTGCTTTTTCAACTTATTTACAGTTGGAGAGGAATAGGGATAAGAAGACAAATAACTCGAGGGCATGAGTGTATGTAGTTGCATTCTTAAAAAAAGCCCCACAGTCCAACCTGTTTTCCCTTTGGTAATTTAACATGGATGTTGGTTTTCTGTGAAACTTGATGTTTGATCTGGATTATTGGTAGTGCCTCATAAGGCAGAGATCTAGTGAAGTTGCTGGAAACATTTTTATGAAATCTCAGTGGCGCAAAGTGCAGCCAATTTAGATCCATTTTACATATGGATGGTAAATAATGATGCTCCCAGGCTTAGTAAAACGAAACAAAATCAACGTCTGAATCCACTTAGTTAACTCACTAAAAGAAGCTGCCAGTAGTGATCTGAAAGCTTGTTTACATTTTTAACATTGGTTAATACTGAAACCAAAAACTGTAGCTTAATTCATTACTGACAGAAGTTCTCCATTCACTGTTGTGACATAAGGCACTTCTCGAATGCTATAAAATGGTAAGAGTGTGTATGTTTTGAAATAGTGTGCTGTTTCCCTTTTACTAAACACTTGTGCAGTTTTTGTACTTGAGTACAGCAAACTTTAATGTAATGTACATTTTGTATGTAAAGAGGTGTCTTTTAAGTAGCCTTATCCTATTTAAATAAATTCAATTAAAAGTAAACAAAGTAGTGCTGACTTGTTTTTGTGATGTAATTAAGCTTGTTCATGCTATACAGTTATATTTTGGTGACCTTGAGGTGATTAGAACCTAAGAAAAAGCTTACAGGGTAAAAGGCTCAGTAGCTACTTCGGAGTTTTAGCAGCAGGTAGTATCATGTGAAGTGCTGGTCCTTCCACTTCAAGTGTAACAGTCTGGTAGGAGTTCTGTTTGGTGGGTGGCTTCTTGGCAGTGGTTTAGAGTCTGGGCTATATTTTGTTGTAGTTTCAGTTGCTAGGAGCATGTGTGTGTTGGTGTGTGTTAAGGAGTGATATGCAGAGCTGTACTGGAATAATAGCATGATGCTGCTAGTGCATGGTAACTGTCTTGTTTTCAAGCCAGTGTGCTTTCCAGCCTTGTCATGTTTTACCTACCTTTCCCTGGAGCTGGGACCGTTCTGCCATCTGTCCTAGCATTTGAGGGGCAAGGTGCAAGCCGTGCTGCTCTGACAACTTCCACTACCCCCTTAGTTAGTCTTTCTTTCTGCAGAAGTGCTAGAGCAGAGCTGCAGCTTGCTGGGGCATTGCCAGACCCCAGAGGAGAACCCAAGTAAGGTGCTTGCCCTGCTTTGGGAGGCATGGATATAGGAGTGATTTCTCTGGCTCTTCTTTACTACAGCCCTCTTCATAGAATGAAGTCACCAAAGGATAGAATTTAGTCTTTCAGTGAGATCAGATTAGCACAGTGTGCACTTCAAAAATGTCAGCCAGCCAAGTTCTTCAAATGGTGTACAGTAAACCATATCTGGTCTGATCCATCTATTTAGCTTGTTGAATTAAAGAGAAAGAAATGACCTGTGATCACTTTACACTTGGTACAAAAGAAAAAAGAAAAATTCAAGAGCTGTGGCAGGAACTAAGAGCAAACTTTCCAACCCAGTTACACACAAAGTATATTCCCAATTCTTCTTTCCACATCTGAAGATTCCTGTTAGAAGTGTAACATGTTACTTTCCTCCTTTTGCTGGATACAAACTAATTCCAGGTGGAAGGTGTACCAGGACTATACATTGCATAATATGGCCATATTTCTTGAAGCTTGCTTTGGGAAGTTATCTTCCTTTGGGTTTTTTCCTCTTGATTTTTATTGTCCAGCCAGCATGCTGTTGCTGACAGTTGCCAGCAAGCATGTAGCAGAAATGATGCTAGAGCAAAGGATATTAGGTATTACAATACAGAACAAAATTAAAGTATGCCCTAGTGTAGAAGTTAAATTTCTGACTTTTGCCAATTGAATGTCTTTTCTCTTGACCACCTTGCTTGCTGAGAACAGTAATATTTTGGTTTTGACTTTAGAGCCTATGGATACATTTTTATCAGCTGCAGTCAATTCAGTATTTTCATACAGTTGTTCAATTTTGCTGATAATTTTTCCACTGACAGCAGTCTCCTACTAACTGAAATATCAGCAGGGCTCCTGTGAGGGTTGTCTAGACTCCACAGTTCTTAATGACTGGGTGCAAAAAGGGTTGTGTTTGTATGGCTCTATGATTTTGTTTCTTCAGACTGTGACAGCATTTAATTTGTAAATATCTAATATGTAAATGCAATTAAAGCACAATCACAATTTTGTTTTAAATGATTTTATTTTGAAAAGTACAATTTGCAGTGAAACGTCGACTAACTGTAATACTGACACTGTCAATCAGAACTTGTACTTCACACAATGACCAGCTAGTCATGCAATAAAATATGTACCTGTTAACGAAGCACTCCCACTTCAACTGCTTTTTCATTATCTCTTTGTGGCACGGCACAAATCCTTGTACACTGAAACACCCTCTACGTTTGCAGCCTTTCTACACACTTGACAGCACACACTAGTCACATAGCTCAAGAACACTGAGGCGAGACCGCAGCCTTATTGAAATGGAATGGTGTTTGCCATTGATTTCAGTGGGCTGAGGGTTTCACCTGCAATATCCATCTAAGAACGCATTGTGCGTGGCCATTGTAATCCTTGAACTATATCACTTGCTTGTAACTGGAATATTTAGTGGAAGGAAAAAAAAACAACACAAAAAGAGTATGTTACGTCAATAACACCCAAATGGTTTTATATCTCAGGTTTTGCATTAGTTTTGGTTAGCTGTAGAAATCTTAAACACCAACACCCGCTGCTAGAGATTTTTGAAGTTGTTTTCCCTCCAGATTTGGAGAGTTTGAAGAAAAAGGTTAAGTGATGTTAATAGTACAGCAAAACACAGAGTGGCAAAGCTAGTTCCGAACATCCGTGTATTTCAGACTATATATTGCAAGCATGACTTTCCTCCCTTCTCCCCACCTCTTATTTTGAGCTTTAAATATCCTTCCCACATTCAGGGCAAAGGATGTCATCCCTTTCTGTGAGGAAGCCGCGACCCACTAATGAGAGGGAGCACTTCTTACAGTTAAAGCAATCATTATGCCACTGCCGTTCTTCAAAGGAGATGTACTTGGTTCCTCCAAGTCCTGTTTGAAAACCAAAAGCATTCTGTTACAAAAAAAGAATAGCACTTCAGCCATGGAGTGGTGCTATTTCTGACTCCCCTCAGGGATTGCTATGGATATCTGACATACAGTAGTAAACAAATGCCCTTGTGACAAATCTATTTGTTGCTGTGCTAATTTTGCCACCCTTGTTCTGTAGCAAGTAACATTTTCACCCTCAAATAGTTCTGTTGCTTTCAGCAGAGTTAGTGGACCAGACTCCTGTCACTGGTGTTAATGGCAGAAATGATACAGCAGAAGAAAAAAAAAGCAACTGCCCCTGAACAAAAGTCTGATGGTTTTTTACAGAATGTTCTATGGCATCTGAGAGAAAAGCAACTGAACAAAAGTCTGATGTTTTTTTACAGAATGTTCTATGGCATCTGAGAAAGTTAATTTTGTTTTGTAAAAATGCATTTAGGTCATTGAAAAAGAAGTCTGTCAGGTGGTGCTGTGACTTGATTCGTAGCTTTGAAGGAAGAGTGCCTCAAGAAAAGAAGCAGGTTAGTAAACTGCAAAAAACCATGCAAGAGTTTGAGGCTGTGGAGGTTATCATAAGGGGTACTGAAGTTGTACAGGAAAAAGAAGAGACAAATGTCTCCTAGTAGCAATTATCTCTTGCTTAACCTCAGAAATGACAGGCAATTTGTGCATGATTCATTGGACTGACAAGCTGGAAGTCAGTGAAAAGATTCAATTGGGCATAGCGCTTACCTGATGAGAGGCATTTTTGTTTTGTTTTGCTTTTAGTAGCAACATTGAAAAAGGCAGCATATGACATAAAGGACTGCAATATTCAAAAGAGAAATGCCTCTTTCATACCAACAGAAAACAGTTCCTGTGGTGTTACGCACTGACTTCTCTAGGAGCTACACAATCAGTATGTTAGTGAGGGACAGGTGCAAGGGCAGAGCAGTAACAATAGAGAAAATGATCCAGATAGGTACACAGTCTCAGACTGTATGGATCTGTTAAATGCTGATTACTTCATAGAAGAGGTTATATTTTTATGCTGAGTGTTTCATAGTAAAGCTCTAAGTTGCTCCTTTAAGTACTTTTGTGCTGGAAAGCAGTTATCTGAAAGCCTTGTGGTTTCTCTGGCTATTCTTCCACAAGAATAGCCAGAGAAGAAATGTGCCATGCTAAAGCAAGAGGTATAAACCAGTTAGATACTTTCTTCTGGCAGAGGGACTGTTGTTGCTGAGGTCAAAGATCCCTCTAATAAACGCAAGTGGAATGACATACAGAACATACATATCCCACTACATGCGTAGCTCTGTTACTGTGTCCACCATGTTCTGTAAAAATCAGGTGAAAAAGAGGAAATTTCCATGTAAGGACCTCTTCTATTTCTGTTAAACACTCGAAAGGTATCATAAGCACTATCCCTGGAGGTGTTCAAAAGACGGGTTGATGTAGTGCTGGGAGGTATGGTTTAGTGATGGTGATGCTTCTTGTTTGTTGTGTGGGTGTCTATTTTTGTCAGTTAGGTTGACGGTTGGACAAGATGATCTTTAAGGTCCCTTCCAACCTAGAAGATTCTGTGATAAGCATTTAGTTTCACACATCTTGAGTTGTCTAGTGTCTTGAGTCTCCCAAATTATGCAGAATGAACTACTGAACCATTTTTAATGTTAGAAGCAGTTTGTTGTAAAAAAAATATCACACCAAAGCCCCACATTTAAAGAGACCTACCACTGATTGGGTTTGTGCATCCAGCACACTTCTTGGCGTAGAGGTTGCAGAAGCAGCTCAGGCAATAGGCAAACTCATCCCTGGAGGTAAAGCGTTGTCCAGACAACTGCTTCTTGCATCCGGTGCAGACGAAGCACTCCTTGTGCCACGGCTGCTCCCGGTAAGTAACGCCTCCTGTAGTGATAGCCTGGTTTAGGGAAAGTAAGGCAGAAAGTGTTTTCTTGAGGGTGGCACATTTTTATCTTAATTCAGTAGAGAGGAAGGGTGATAAGTTTTTTTGTGGGCGGGAGGAGGGACAGAAGGTTTACCAGCTGCAGAATCATCATTTTGGCTGGACTTCACCTTGAGAAAAGCATGCAACTGATATATTATCATTTCCTAATTTATACAAAGAACCTAAAGGAACTTATTCTTCATACATTGTATAATCTCGCTCTCAATTGTCCTCTTTGGTTTTTTTAGTCTTTGTATGTCACTTTTAATATGTGTGTGCTAGCATTTGTCTCATCTTAGTTTCTTCACCTGTTCCCATTCTTCGTGGGGAAGGAACTACCTCATGTGTTTCAACTTCTCTGTTGCTTTCCTTGGCCAAGACTGTTTTATTTCAAATTTTAGCTGCGGTCTTTGCTTTCTGCTTCTCTGGACTTTGTCTGGGATTTTTCTCTCATAAGAAGTAGTTGCCTACAAAAACAGCTCCCCAGATGTTAAACAAACTGAACCTTTTTGCTCCTTTGAGTGTTCCTAAGAAGACTGTAAAATTGGTAACTTTATTTCTTTTTGCTTTCTTAACTAAAGGGAGGT